AATCATGACATGGAAGCTTTACAACTTAACAACTCAGTTTCATACAAAAATTTCATCAGCTAGACTTGCTACTAGCACTTCCCTATCTGGAGAAGTAGATTATGTAAATGCTCAATCATTGGAAATCTATTTCCAAACTCCTCTATGAAACTTTTTGGCAAGCAAGAATACATTTTGGTACTGGAAGCAGATTATGTAAATGCTCAATCATATGACATCTATTTTCAAACTCTTCTATTAAAGTTTTTGGCAAGAAAGAAAACATTTTGGTACTGGAAACGAAGCAACGGAGAAAAAAGATAAAGTTAATCAGAAGTCACAAGATAGTCAATCATATTATAGGGGGTGTAAACAAACATAACAAAGCTAAAGTACAGCTCTATTTGTTCATTTTTATTGTGTTTTAGACTCCGATTGAACTCATTAACAGTTTTCAGATTCTTTTCAGCTCATATCATTAAAAAATTTAGATGTTTCATTTCATTTTCACAAGCAATATATTAATTATTCATAAAAAAACATATTCAACTATAAATCCAGATAAAGAAATTAAACATACAGACCAAAATAGATTATAAGGAATCGCATGAGAAGTGATTCAACCAAAAATCTACAGAAGTTGAGGGAATACAGGAAACCAACAAAAACGTACAAAATACTAATCAACTGAAGAACCAATACAATGTCAAAATAAATGAAGCATAAAACAAAATAAGCTCAATATTTTAACATGCTCCAAACCTAATAAGTTCTTTAATTCAGATAAAAGAAGCTTCAATTTGTTACATTGTACAGAGGAACCCACAATTAGCAACATTCTCATCATTCCAATACCAAATCAAATGCTCAAACTCATTGGTTAATAAAATCTCAGGACCAGTGAGGGCAGCTGACCTTATTAACAGTCAAATGGATCCAAAAGCTATTTATTGAGTATAGACAATCCAGATAAGGCACTAAATGTGAATAACTAGGTTCAGGCACAAGAATTTTCAATTACAATCGACGAGATGTAACTCAACACTCGTGATCTGATCGTGCCCAGAAACATAGAGTGCAGAATTCAAAAAACTATAAATAAATTGGAAAGCAAAAAACAACAAGAACTGATCGGCAATCAAAAAGTTAAGGAAATTTGATAGGTGAGAAGCCATACGAGAGAACGTGTGGAAACCAAATTTGAGTAATCGCGCGAGATCGGACGGTAGAGAACGCCCGATCTCGTGAGGGAATGCCGGAGCAGATCCGCGAACTGAACAAAGAAAACTAAAGACGCAAGGTTGACACCCCTCGTTGGCGCTGATCTCTCATTCTAACAAAATGAGACAAAGAGGGGTGTATTTAATTGGATTTATGAAGATTTTTTAAAAATAAATTTGGACTTTATAAAATTTGGTGTATTTAATTTGAACTTCTCCAAACTTTTAAAAGTGTTGAGGTATTCAATTAGACTGACTTTATTGGTGACCCAATCCATGAGTCATAATTAAAAAAAAAAAAAGGAATGTTGTAGGATTTGAGCTAGTGACCTTGGGTCGCGACCTTGCTTATTGTATGAAAGCGGGACACTTGTCCCACTTAGATTGGATAAATGTATTTTTTTGTTTAAAAAAAAAAAGTATTAAAATTTGTATTTTTTTCATTCTTTACAAATAGAGACCACACTTGATATATTTTGGAATAAATTATATTAAAATAAATATTTAGGTTGAGTTGGGTTGTGGATAAAGATTAATTAGGTTGGAAGATTGAGTTGTGTATGTGGAGGAGAGAGAAATAATTTTTAATTATTAGGTTGAGTTGGGTTGGGTAGGGGATAAAGATGGTGTTAGAATTTTAAAAAGTCTTACAAAATCTTGGGGTATTTAAATTATTTGAGACTCGAATTTGTAAGGACTTTTTAAGATTTGCTGAGATTTCTAAAGAAAAAAACATATACAAAATCTCACTACAAATCTCACCTCTAGACTTGGTATTTCACAGGATTCCGCCAAAAACTGAAAATCTTAAAAAATCTTAAATCTTAAAAAGTCTTTAAATGTCACTCGAATTTCGATACGAATACACCCCCTAATGAGGCGCCTGCCTATATGTTATCTTTGGTTTTAAACTACTAGGTCCTGATTGGTATAATGGAATGAAATATCATAGGAATGGAATGAATTTAAGAATGGAATGATTATGAGAATGAAATGAAAATAGTTTTGTCATTGATGCGTTTGGTATGCAGAAGTAATAAGACCTGACTGGATTGACATTATCATATTTTATTATAAAAATAAATACAAGCTTTTTTAAAAAATAATATAATTTAATAAATCATATATAAATGCTTTTATGAATAATATATAAAAATAAATTAATTTATTTTTAATAATATATTTTTTAATAACATAAAAAGTAATATATTTTTAAAAATATATAAAAATAAAATAATATATTTTTAAATTATATAAAATAAATAATATATTCTTAAAAGTAATATATTTTTAATATATAACAATAATATATTTTTAATAATATATAAAAATAAAAAAGTAAGTTTTCAATTATCTTGAATTTATTTTTTTAAAATAATATATTTATAATAGTATATAAAAATAAAAGTAATATATTTCTAATAATATATATTTTTAATATTTTTAAAAAATATATTTTTATTATATATTTTTTAAAGTAATATATTTTTAATATATAAGTAATAATATAATTTAAATTATATATAAATAAAATAATATATTTTCAAATGATATGTAAATGCTTTTTTTTAGTTTTATTTTTATATAAGTATTCTAATATATCTAATTAAACAATAAATAAAAGTAAGTTTTCAATATTTTATTTTTAAAATAATTTTATTTAATATATTATAATCATTATTTATAATATATATTATATATTTATTTTTTATTATAAATTGTTAATTTTATTTTTTGAAAAATTAATTCCTACACAAATGGGAATGAGAAAACCTTCCATGAACTATGGAATGGCTAACCCCATGGATATGGGTTTTGTCATTCCAATGGAAATGGTCATTACTTTCCAAAATAATATACCAATCATGAGATAAGGAATGAGTAAGAGAATGATCATTTCATTCCATGTTATTTCCTCATACCAATCATTTCACTAGTGGTGAGATTATTTAAAAGGGAGAGTCAATGGGTCATTTATTTAAATGACCCTTTCAACATTTTTTGTGTAAGTGACCTATTTTTTTAAATAAAGTTAAATCAATAATTAAAATACCTAAACTACCCCTATATGATAAATGACTATAATACCTTTCTTCTATTTTGTTAACAACTTTGTAAAAAAAACGAATTCTGATCGTCCGTCGTCACTCTCTCTGTGGCTCTGTCTCGCGTCTGCTCCTCTCTCTCGTTCTCTCTCGTGCTGCTCCTCTCTCTCTCTCACTCCATCGTCTTCTCTTGAAAAGGTGGGAACAAAATATAATCATTACACATAAACTTTGAATTCCATATTGCAAAAGAAATTAGAAGACCAACAATTAAATCATTAAAGCATGTTAGGATTTGTTGTTATTTTATTGACAAAACATTTTGGTTCATATTTTATGATTGATACACATGTTGGTTTCATATTTAACATGATTGATACACATGTTGGTTACATAACGACTTTACATTCGTTATCGGAAGAATATCTCATAACGAATGCAGACTTGTTACAAAATTATTTCATAGCGAATGTAGACCCATTATTTGATGTTTATTTCATAACGAATGTAATTTCGTTATGACATATCCCATTATTTTTAATTATGACATATCCTAATGTAGTTTTTGATAAGGGATATTGTATACTAGACCGGTTTGCCAGGACAACCGGAGAAAATAGGTCGGACCGTCGGATTACCTGAGTAAGGAAAAGTCGAGTAACCTGGTCGAGAAAGGCCAGGTGCTAGCAATAAAGGAACAGAGAGCAGACAGTAGAGATCGGACGTGGTCGACAGATACGAACCACCATGAGTGGTCGGATAGGGCGTGGTCGCAGAAGACTGGTCGAATATCAGAGTACACAAGGGAATCTCCAGCACGTGAAAGGAAGGACACGTGGCGCAATGTGAGTGGCTATAGCTGCAACGGACTCTGACATTCTCTGACAAAGAGGACGCGTCTCCTGACACCAAAGATAGTGGAGGCGCGCGGCTGTACGGACGAGCAGAAGACAGTTGGCCGAACTCGCCTGGCTCGCGCGTGCAGCTCAGGTAACTCGCCCTTATAAATAGAGGCGAGAATCCTCATTTTCGGTACAATCACATATACTCTCATACTTTTTCATACACATATATTGTCTCTCAAGATCTGACTTGAGCGTTGGAGGCTCTTTACTGGAAAACACCTCCGGTGTGGGAGTTTCGTGCAGGTTCTGTGTTCAACTGGCGAGGAGAGCAGGCTTAAGGCGATTTCCAGCCGGTCAGGGTGCAAGACTTGTATTATTGGCGCCGTCTGTGGGAATCTTGTTCGAAAAGTTGTGTTCTGAGCTCAGCTATGGCGGACGGAGTTCCTCGAATGAATTTGCAGTCGTCATTTGATGAAGCGTGGACGACGACAAGACCGATGGGAGCAGGACCTCCACCCGGATTCTCCGGACCCTCTCAAACACCGGTGACCCCGACACCGATGCCCCAGGGTACAGCGATCCTGGGTGGAGGAGCAGGCAGGAGCAAAGAGCATGAAACTCGTGAGGTGGTATCAGCGGCAGTCCTCACTCCGTTGCAAGCGGGCCCAGTCGTGACGTAGCAGGTAGGGCCAACAGCGCAGACCATGATGCCGCCAACAGGAGGAGCACCCCAACCCCCCGCTCAGCAAGTAGTGGCCATGACGAGAGAAGAAATGCAGAGGATGGTGGCCGACGCGGCAGCGCAGGCTGTGCAACAAGCCACTCACCAGACATCCCAGGCTGCTACCACGCCGACAACGGTGCAGGGGACACAAGAAGAGGACGTGTCGAGTTACGGCGGAGGAGGAGAGTACAGAGATAGAGCGATGGAGAAGATGGACGAGCAGCTTCGGCAGTTGCAGGAGAAGATGGAAGGAAGGCCGGAAAGACGTGCTCGAGGACACCCGTTCTCGAGGGAAATCTTAGCTGCGCCGCTACCTGCGAGTTTTCGGGAGATAAACCTGATTTTTAATGGAACGAGCGACCCGTCGAGGCACGTGAGAGCATTCGAAAACATGTCCGTCTTGCACGGGTATTCGGATCCGGTCAGCTGCAGAGCCTTCCTGTCGACCTTACGGGGAGGCGTGCTCGACTGGTTCCACCAATTAGCTCCAGGTTCGATCAGAGACTTTGAGGATTTCGCAGGACAGCTTACTAATCAATACTCAAGTGCAGTCGCCCAGGAGAAGACATACCTTACACTGATGGCAATGCGACAAGGCGAGAAAGAATCCTTACAGAAGTATGTTGCTCGATACAATCAGATGTGTCTAGAGGTGCCCACGGCGGGTGACGAGGTGAAAGCAGGAGGATTGATCAGGAGTCTACGGCCAGGACCATGTCGAACGTTGCTGGCAAAGACGCCTGCTCGAACTTACGATGAGGTGCTCAAAAGATGCAAGAAGTACATTAATTTGGAAGAAACGAAACCAGAGTTTGCCAAGCTCGAGGACGTTGTGAAACCTGAGCAGAAGAAGGGAAAGATGAGCTCGCCCAGGAGGGGATCACCTAAGAAAAATTCCCCAAGAGGAGGATCTTTTAAGAGGCTGTCGCCCAGGAGGGATGGGCGAAATTCATTCCGAGAGAGGCGAGAAGATCGCTGGCAAGGACGACCTCGATTACTAAGCGGCCAAAGATATAACCATTTTACTCCTATCAACGCCCAGATGGGTGAAGTCTTGGCGGCCATAGAGGAGAAGTTGGAAAGCAAGGAAGTCACGTGGCCAGCGACCAGGTTCGAAGGACCGACCAAACCTAGATCGAATAAATATTGCAGATTCCATAGGGATTATGGACATAATACAGAAGATTGTAGACACTTGAAAGACGAGATCGAGCGTCTCATACGGGCAGGGCACTTGAAAGAATTTGTCATTCGTGATCGACCACGGGGTAAAGAAAGGAGAAGGTGCAGGGAAGATTCTGTGGCGAGGAGCGATAAGGACGACGATAGGGAAGACGATGCTAGAAAAGAAAGAAGGAGGCGACAAGACGATGGTCGAGAGGAGCTGAGGGATGAGGTGCCTGCGAAAAGAGGCACGATTTACATGATCTCAGGAGGGACAACGGATGGGGATTCAAATAATGCGCGAAAGGGGCATGTGCGGGCGGTGAAGCGTAAAAGAGAAGAGGTCGGGATAACTGGTCGAATGCTTGTGATTAGCTTTCGAGCAGAAGACGCGGAGGGAATCTTGTTACCCCACAATGACGCGCTGGTCATCACGGCCGAAGTGGCAGGTTTTGATGTGAAAAGAGTGTTCATCGACACGGGGAGCTCAGTCGACGTGATGTTCTACGATTGTTTTGCGCAGATCAACAAACACCTGAATCTGGAACTGAAACCGGTGGCGACAGCTTTATATGGGTTTAACGGTGGAGAGGTAATACCAATGGGCGAAGTGAGCCTGACCGTAGCATTGGGGTCGGGCGACACGAGGAAAGTAAGGATGGTCCGGTTTGTAGTGGTCGGAGCAGAATCGTCTTACAATATCATTTTAGGGCGGACAGGTTTAAAC